ATCCTCAGGGGAAAAGTAGTAACCTACAATTACGGGCTGTTAGACACCGAATACGGTGACTAAACTCGAACCCGATGACTCTTCCAATGCCATGAGTGGCTCGCCCATTACAAATCAATCAATTTAGAACATAATGCGAAGATAGCGCGCATATAAGAAGATGCCGGCTTTTGGAAGAATATGCCTTCGGCCTGCGGAAAATATTCACCCAATAAAAAATGACTACTAAAGTGGTGCGTATTTTCTCTAAATAATGTTTGACGACCTTACAAATTAAAATTTTTTCCACATAACACATGCACAAAGTTAATCTTCTTTGTAGTCATCTGATAACAAATCACGATTTTTCCAATTTCTGTGTACTGAAAGAAACTGAATGACTGGGTCTAAAACACATTTTCCAAGGCCGGAATGAGCCCGATATGCCGTTGCGGCATTTGTATCTAGGCATGGTAGGCTACAATACCTATATGCCCTGAGGGCAATGAAATAATTTCTATTCCTCTCTGGTACCAAGAAGATAACATATGGTGCTCATAAATTTTGTAGTGTACATGGACTATCGCGTAGACAACGTAATTCACATAAAGTTAAATTTTCGGCGAACACCAGGAGACTGCTCTATGGGAACATTTAGGGTTACGACCCAAATCTTCTATAGATAGAACATGCAGCACGTTCTTCAGAAAGCTTGGCAACCAGTAACAAAAACGCTTGTCATTAAAAAGGAGTAGTTAATCTTTCAAACTTGAAGCAGCCTATCGAACATAGGGTAAACAGGAATGACATGGAATTTTTTTAACAAAAAGGATCTGCGCGCAGCATACTCGCAAAATATGGTGTGGCTATTGAAAAATTGGTGAAAACCTCCCCCCTTCCCAAGGGTTTGAATTGACCGATTTTCCTCCAAATGACACCTGTATACAGACGAATGAGGAAAATGGAATTGAGGGTTCTTCCCCAACCAGTCGGGTTAGCAGCATTCGCATCAAGCACAATTTATTTTCGCTTTGAAAAGCGTCATGCATCAACTTTTAAGACCACAGTCTACTTTTTCCCAATAAAGTGTGTATTTCGATTTACCCAATTGTGAAAAACTCGCGGCCTCGGTGGGAGTCAGTATTGGTGGATTCCATACTTGCAGTAAACTGGGCAAGCGACTCGACCCAAGTGCGATTAAATTCACGGCATACGCTGAGCTTTGCAGCTCAATGGTAGAGCACTGGCTGAGCGAAAGACCTCCCTTGCTGGCTTAGGTTCGACTCCCACCGAGTTTGCGAATTTTTTTACAATTGGGTCGAATGAATTTTTGAAATCTGCCAAACCATTAATAGTGTATTGTCGAAAGCAAAAAAATCAACTTTTAAGCTAGAGAGAAATTGGGCATCGTCTTCGGTTGCAAAAAACCCAAAGTGATGCGCGGGGCGGGACTGCAAACACACTTGGTGGAAAACAAATGGAGTGATATGCAGGCCACTTACGAAACTCTTAATCATGGCTTTTCTGGTGTCATCATTGGCATCCTTGAAGATCTTCGCAAAGAGATTGTTCAGCGGGTCGCCCTCCTCGATTTCGTCCGCCTCCTTGGCCAGCTTGTCCCAGTCACTGGCGTTTTTGTGTGAGGTGGGATAGGCGGGCTGCTTATCGCTTGTGGTAGCGGCGGCCGGC